ATATATATACTGTGTGTATATATATATGGCATTTTAAACCCTTCCCACACTCTTGCAATATTCTAAGCATTGTTTCTAAACTAAACACACTAAAAAAGCACAGAATGTCATATCAGCTCTCTGCCTCCGCTGCTCTCTGCCACTTGCTAGCGCACTTGGCCGCGCCCACTTCTCCGCTGCAGAGCGGAGATATGAGGGAGGTTCTCCTGGAAGGTTTTTTTTTCTGCAGCTGTGGGCTGCACACAGGTGCGAAATAATTTAAAATAATTTATTTAAAATAAAAATTCCCTGCCGATCATGCAGCTCATCCATCAGTCAGCCAATTGTCATGTCCAATCTTATTTTGAAAAACCGCGATAGAGCAAGTCAGCGATAAACCACAAAGTAGTGAGGGACTACTGTACTCTGTTTGCAAAACGATTGTAGGCCATGCACAGTAACTCTAAAATTAAAATAACCATTAAACATTGCCAAATGCATACTAGACCCTCCTTGCATACGCTCTAAACAAAAACCTGCATAAAATGCAGTTTATACAGAACTGTAGCATAAATAAGAAACTCATGATAAAAAAAAAAGAAGCTAAATACCGAACTTATTATCCAACTAACAGTTTGCCAATGTTTGTACTTTTCCCCCTTCACACTGCTGCAGACCATTTTATTTTACACTCAAAGTTCAATATCCAGCTGTGGTGGTGGTTTCATTGGCAGCCTCATTAGGAGCTTCTACTGCTGACTGTAATTGGCATGAATGATGAGCAGCATCAAAAGGCGTTGGTCTGACAGGATTTCTGGAAAATAAGATTTTTAATCATTGCATGAACATAATAAAAACTTTAAAAGGTTGAACTATAGTAGAACTGTTTCATTATAACGTTAGTTTGCCAGGTCAAATTAAGAATCCATTCTGAAATGAAATGTCTTATTGCAGAAACACCCTCAGCCTTTTAGTTACTGGGTCTGAATCTTTAACATTCCTTCCTTTTGGTCTAACGTTACTGTTTCTGCCTCCTGTTTCTCTCTGCAGAGGATTTTCAACTCGTTTGTGTACACAGAGAAGACATCAAACGGAGAGACAGAAGTGCAGCAGGTGAGTAACAAAGGCCTCTGCTGTCTGGTGTATGTGTGTGTGTGCCTCCTTGTCGGTGCATGTGCCATGGAGGATGTCTGTCTGTGGTCTTCTGCAGTGTTCAATTCAGCAGCATTGAACACATACACCAGGGGGTTTATTAAAATTCTATGTCTGCTGTCTCATTGGCTTTGAAGTTGTGTTTTTCCGCACTCGTCTGTCTCCAGCTCTCTTTCCCTTCTGATAACAAGCGCAGAGCTTCAGTTTGACAGTAAGAAGGCTCGAAGGGAAGATGAACAGGCTGCAGCCAGAAATGAAACATTTGTCTCAAACGGCCGCTCTAATTCACAAGTCAGAATTTGTGTGTGCCTTTTTGGCTTCATAATGGTCAATCTGTTCATAATTTATTTTGGCAACTTGTGTCAAATCAAACATAATTTAGAGCAGAGATGGTGTGGAAGTGTGTGTATGTGTGTGCATTTGCTCTTCTTCGCCAAGGATCTTGGAAGAGTGACAATATACTGTACACGCCACACAGGTAAACATCCACCAGCAAGAACAGACAGGGTAATGATTGTTTACATTTCTCTGGTGGCAGACTTGTGTATCTGTCAGTGGTGGGCACCGCTAACAAAATAGTTAGCTTGGCTAACTCATATTCTGCTACTTAAATATTAGCTTTGCTAAAACTAAACACCTAAAGAAGTAAAAGAAAAAAAAAAATTGGCAAAAGCTAATGCTAAACTGCTAAGACAACTTTCACTTGGCATGTGTCACATGTCTTTGTCTCCTTAAGGCCCCCACATACTTGGGCATACTTCACTCCGTGGAGGTCCACGCGTACTCGAGGCGGACTCGAAGCGGACGTACGCCGGCCAAGTCCATGCAAAGATCAATTTTTATGACCGCGTACGCGTACTCTGTGTCGCACAATAAACTGCCTGGCGAGAAACTGTGTTCACATGGAACTGTTTTGTATGCGACACCAACCGCAGCGCGGATGCGCAGCGCGACTGCGCAGCGCGACTGCCACTGTCTGTGCAGTGCTAACAGGTGGCTGCTCTGGTGCTAACGTGCCCAACTAGCTCATCAAATCTGCTAGAATCCATTCGAAAATATTCAAACTGTTTCTCGCTGTCCATCATCTTCATGTCCTTCACCATTGTATTAAATTCCCTTCTTCATCTCTGGTCTGGTTTAAGGGCCTTTTGTACCACCTTCTTTTCTTTTGTTTTTTAAAAGAATATCTCAACTTCTTTTCTTTATATTTTTTATATTTAAAATTCTTTTAAAGCTAACAGGCAAGTGATCTCTTCGTCCTTGTCCATTGACGGCATGACTGAAATTGTGAGAAATGAAGGAATTTGTCACGAGATAATTTTAGACAATCTGTATGCTCGAGTATGAAGTCTCAACCGTCTGCGGACAGTATACACGGAGTCCGCGCAGCCCACGGAGTACGCACAGTACGCCCGAGTATGTGTCAGCCTTTACAGTTATAGCTGGGTCGACCAAACACATTTTGCCGTGTACACATAGTAAGCCAATAGCTTGCCTTCGGCTAGCTGCTGCTGCGTCGACCAATCATGTTTTAGCACATGTATATTTAGTATGTTAATAGTATGTCTAACCGACTCTTCAAAACACACCCACAACAGACAGGAACAAGCTTAAAGTTGGCAAAACCTAATTTAGTGGAAGTTAATTCTGCTATCAGATTCCAAAGTTGGCAAAAATGCTAATCCACTAAATGGATAAAATTACTTTCACTGTTATTGGATTAGCGGAACTTTATCCACCACTGGTATGTCTTTTTGCATAGTACTAATATACATTCATACATGCAGTATCTCGCGCCTCACGGGTGATTAGTATTTTACATTCAGCTCAGGCTCATCTTGAAACATGTTTCTCTTCTCTTTTCTAAACTGTTATTCCAAACAACAACAAAAAAAATCTGGGAAATGTGAATTATGATTCTCACTTGTTGACAAAAAGGGGACAACGTTTTTATCTGTGTTCATTTTACTATAGAGTTAGCAAAATATTTCATGAACCACGGGACATATTTTTTTGTGAAACATTCATAAAACAATTAATAATATTAATAAATGTCTACAACTAATAAACTTTTGGCATCACAATTGAATATTTTTGCTACAGCCAAACGACCTTATAAAGTACAAATGTGGCTCTAAATCGGTCTGTTTTACAGACATTGTAAGACAAGTGTTCTGTTAGGAAAATATGGAACAATAAGATCTGTATGGAGCTAGGTTGTTCAGAGCTTTGTAAGTTAGAAGAAAGATTTTTAATTTTATTCTGAATTTGTCAGTGAGCCAGTGGAGACATAAAATGAACATAAACTTTAGGCATGAAGGGTGGTGGGCGATAAGCATTTTTTATAAAGGATGCCCATTCAGAGCATTTACTCAAGGGTGCTTTTGTTTCTGGCTTTTAATTTTTTGTTCTCTGTAAATCTGTTGCAACAGCAACTCGTGGCTTTCAAAGGAACATCTTTTGTAGGTGTGATTCGGTTGGCTTTAGTCAGAGTAAAGATGCTCATTTAAGTTCTTGGCTAGCTATTTATTTCAGTGACCAAGAATTCAAAGAATGTATCCATCCATCCATTATATTTTACCCGCTTCTTCCTTTTGGGGTCACGGGGGTCAATGGTGCCCATGTCCAGCCATCACTGTGCGAGAGGCGGGGTACACCCTGGACAAGTCGCAAGTTCATCACAGTCAAAAAATGCAATCAAATTTAATCTCTAATTACTTCAGATCATCATTTGGACATAGTTTATTTCCTAGGGCTCTTCGAGCAGAATAGCTCCATCCTTGGACCAAGGTGGAGCTCAATTTGGAGGTTATCTACAAACCAATAGAGGGCTGAGGGAAGGCTGGGAAAGAGGACAGACAGCTACAGAAAGAAGCCACTGGCAACTTCAGCAACTTTCTTCTTGTGGGAATTTTTTATTCAGAGACATGCAGACATGTCTCACTCTGATAACACAGTGCCTCCCTTGCAGTGTCATTCTTTGTCTCCTTGTTTTACTCATGGCATGTGCTGTCAAATTGGTTATTATTAATATAAACTGGTGGATGCTGTTGGGTTTAACTCTGCAGAGGCTTTTTTGTTGTACCAGAGCACTAAATTTAGAAAAAAAAAAAAAAAAAAATCTTAAAATTGCTGGTGTCTCTTGATATATCTGAGACTACTGAATTTTAAATGCACCTGCATAACAGACCATAATATATAAGCAGGGATGGGGCCAATCTGATCCAGTATCGGTATCGGCCTCCAATACCAGCATCATTTACATATCGGATTTTTTCGATCCACCTGCCGATATTTCCGATCCATGATGCATGTTGGCTTCAAACTGTGGAATGGATTTCCTGAACGGCGGCGTGTCTCATGAACCCAGAGTAATAAGACCCGCCTCACATTCAGGAAATCCAGTTCATAGTTTGCAGCCAGCTACAACGTGAGGGCTGAGTTAGCAGCACCGTGGCTAACAGCTAACAAACTTTTCATCTAAACATGGCCGCTGTGTGGAAGTATTTTACACCACAAAACAAGACGGCATTGTGCAATGTCTGCAGAGCCATAGCGCCACATTAAACCACGTTAAAGTTAGTTTTACGATGGACATTCAAGCTCTGTGGCTTCAGCGGGGCACTACTCTTTGGTCAACCCAAAAGAGGCGACTCAACCTCGGGCAGCCGCGTCCAATCTGCCCTGCTCAGTCTACCCGTCTCTGAGGAGGGACAGACTGAGCGCGGCTGCCCCAAATCAGGCTGCCTGCTTCGGATTGAACAAGAAGTAGACGTAGCTGAAGCCACGGAGCTCAAATGTTTACAGAGAAGTTGCTAAACGTCATCATAATTAATGACCAACCACTATCAGTTGTAGAAAACTAAGGATTTCTCAGCTTGATACTTGCAGCCAAGATATAGTTTACCCTCCAGAGATATTTATCAGTACAACTGTAGACAGTCATAAAAAAACATATGATTTGAAAATTATATATATTAAAAACATAAACAGCTACATTATAAAGTGATGTAAAATACTAAAAACAGGTTTATGCCATGAACTTGGCAGACGTTTAAAGCCATTTAACATTTAATTTAATTTAATTCATTTATTCATTCATTGAAATGAAACAAAATTTAAAAAAAATCATCAAAAAGAAAACATTGAATGAAAAGAGTGCAGATAGAAGAAAAAAAAATTATATCTGCCCCTTATTAAAAAAATAAAATAAAATAACTAAACAACTCCGGTTTCCTCCCACAGACCAAAAACATGCATGTTAGGCTGATTGGTAACTCTAAATTGTCCCTAGGTGTGAGTGAGAGAGTGAATGCTTGTTTGTCTCGTTTGTCTCTATGTGTCCCTGTGATGGACTTGCGACCCGTCCAGGGTGTACCCCGCCCCTCGCACAGTGATTGCTGGACATGGGCACCAGCGACCCCCGTGACCCAAATGGAATAAGCGGGTAAAGAAAATGGATGGATGGATGAAAATAACTAAACAATCACTTAAATTAATCACTTTAATATCCACTTTAAAGCTAGGAATAAAAAGAAACATGTTTTGTGTTAGCAGAATTTAATTCTAACTTTAAAACTTATCCAACATTAATAAAACTTACCTCAAGTTGCCTTTTTGGACATGCATGCATATATTTGTACAAATTGTACTTGAGAGGAAATTATTACAGCCTCATATAAAATCAATGATGATCATGATATCGGAACTGGATCGGTATCGGACGATATTCAGATTTAGGTGTCGGGATCGGATCGGAAGTAAAAAAAAGTGGATCGGTGCATCCCTATATATAAGCGGATTAAATTTTGTTCAACAGCTTTAACATTTCTAAGAAAAAAATGTACAATAACTTGACTCGATACAACTTGACACAATAACTGGACTCAAACCTCCATTTTATACGTACCATGTACACCAAGTATAACCAACTGAGAGAAGAGTCTAGATATTCAAATTATAGAGAGCAGAGAGCACGGTTAACTTTCTGTGCTGGTGTCAGCAGAACAGATGCTTATTCTCCTCTTTTTATTCCTTATTCTGTCTGGCAGGGAGTGGTGGCACAGAGGTTAGAGAAGGTAGGCCTGTGATCGGAATGTTGCCGGTTCAACTCCCCGAACCGACGACATCAAAAATGTGGATGGGAAAGTTGAAACCTCCACACCTGCCTTCACTGACATTTGCCCCACTCTGGGCCCTTGAGCAAGGCCCTTAACCCCCACCATCTGCTCCCCCAGCTACCATAGATGGCAGCTCTGCTCCACACAGAGGGCTGTGGTAGTTTGGTAGTCTGCGGTTGCATCAGGAAGAGCATCCGGCATAAAATCAGTTGCCAAGTCTTCATGAGAGTTAGTTTGCTGTGGCGACCCCTGAAGAAGGGATCAGCCAAAAAAATATATATGTCTGGCAAACTTTCCAACTCCCAACAAAATGCCACAGGACCACCAGTTCTTATTATTTCCATCTTTGTGGTTGAATTGGGCCAGCTGGGTGCTGCAAACCCAAGAGGCTTGTTGTGTGGGAAAGAGGAGTTTTATGTTTTGGACAGTGGTCAGTTTGCAGATCGCAGGTTGTTTCTGTCTACTTTGTGGCAGAGTGTAACCTAAGATTTAACTTGCTCAACTAAAAGATTTTGGTTTCTTTTAAGTCATTCTGGTAAAACATGAGCCATGCTGTCTCTTCCTTTTAATCTCCTCCTGCTGTAAAACCACTCCTCAGCTGAACGCTGTGCCATTTCTTCTTCCTTATTTAAAACAAAGTTCACTGCAGCTAATTGCCGTGAATTCACTCCACCGTCTGTGGAGAGGTTTGACTTTATGTTTCTGTGACAGCGTGCACATAAATGTCCTGCTGTCTGTGTTCCTTGTGGTACAGCAGCAGGATTTGTGGGCTGTGTCTTGGGCCCCTCTTAAAACCCTAATAGGAATAGCGGCTGGCTGATTAGGTGCACTAGCGGTCAGTGGGTCTCTGTCTTTTTTCAGTTTCTGGCTTCAATCACAGTCTTTTTGCAGTCAGAAATAATTATGGGATGTGAACAAAGGGGATCCAGTTACTTTGGAAATGAGCTTTTTTCTGTATCCAGTAAGACTGAGGAGGTGATTCTGTTGCAACACAAAGGACCTGGAGTGAATGAACGATTGATCAGTATTTCTGATTAATAAAACAGATTTTTGCCAGTTTTTAAATTATCAGCATTGAGGACAACTGAGAATATAAAGCCTGTTAAACAAGGAGGCTAAATAATGGGCAGCACAGTGTTACACAAACTAAAGGCTGTTGTATCCTGATGCATGCTCAATAATCCAGGTAGAAAAATCAAACAAAGTTAAGTTTGATCCTGACAAAAGACTGTTGTATTAATGAGGTCCCTGGGATGGATATGCCTTATTCATTTCTTCAGCACCTCCTGTTTACTCCTTTATGGGATGCCTAAGTTCTTTTTAGACCTAATTTTGTCCAAAACTTTGCTGCCATGGTTCTCACATCACCAAACCCTGGTGATACATCACTACAACTCTCTTTCAGCTTCACTGGCTTCCTGTGAGCGCTCAGATTCATTACAAAATTAATCTTATCCCCTATAAGTCACTGCACAGCCATTCTCCTCTGTACCTCTTTGACCTCCTTTACCTCTGTATTCCATCTGGGAAGCTGAAGTCTTCTGATGCTGGATTTTTTTCCCATCCTCTTACACCAGATTGCTGACCTTTTAATGACCTCTGAAATGTTCTTTCTGGAAACAAATAAAACAACAACAACAACTTTAACCTATTTAGCATACAATTCAACTTTCAAAGTTCATGCTCAATAATTCAGGTAAAAATCCAACAAAGTTCAGTCAGGTCATCTGGACTTTTTTTTTTTTTGAGACATTTCGTCCTTCATCCAAAGAACTTATTCAGTCCGAGGAGCCATAAACAAAATCGGTCCCACACGCAGCACACTCACATAATGGACCAACCAGTTTGCTGGTGATAAGATGGTTTCTGGGGCCCGCCCTCTCCCCCGTCGACTCCTCTGAGGCAGCCATAGCCAAAGTGGTTCAAAACATGAAAGTTCATTCTCAATAATCCAGATAAAAATCCTGGTTGGTCTACTTTGTGAGTGTGCTGCTTGTGGGACTGAATTTGTTTTTGTCTCTCAGCCTGATGAAGTCCTTTGGATGAAGGACGAAGTGTCTCAACAAAAAAGAAACTGTCTAGGGATGCATGATATTGGATTTTTGGCCGATATCCGATATGCCAATATGTTAAAACTTATTTGGCCGATAACAATACCAATGTTTTTTCCGTAGACCTTCTTCATAGCTTTCTCTGCTGTGGAATTAAAATACTACATTATTCTGCATGATCTTTGTCAATTTGGCCTGCTACCAAATGCAAATGCCAAAAAGGGGGCTGAAAATGATGTAACACTTCAACCTGGATTATGTTTAATGTCAAATTTATTCATGACATGTACTCTCTCTAACACAATGACAACATTCGAACAGTGCACATTTGTAAATTTTCATAAATCTAAACTCAACGGTATGCATGTCGTCATAACGTTGTACTGGCGCTGCAGGCATCCTTGTCACTGGGATGTCATACATAAACGGTGCCTTTTATATCGGTGAGTTATTTTGATGGAATGGCCAATGTCCGATATTTAACTTTATCGCTAATATTGGCCGATACCGATACCATGCCGATAATATCGTTCATCCCTAAAACCGTCCAGATGACTTGACTGAACTTTATTGGCCAATTACACTTTATTACTTCACATGTCCCTGAACTGTCTCATTGATGATCCTGTTAACATGCTTGTGTTTTCTGTGTACAGCTGGCTAAGAAGATTCGGGAGAAGTTTAATCGTTACCTGGATGTGGTAAACAGGAACAAACAGGTGGTGGAGGCTTCGTACACCGCCCATCTCACCTCTCCACTCACTGCAGTACAGGACTGCTGCTCCATCCCAGCATCTATGATAGAGTGAGTATCTCTTCATTTGGCTAACTCTTTAAGATTATATCACACATTTTTCTGTTTTTCTTTAAAAAGTCTGCATTTGGTTCACGCGCCTTGTAAACCCACAGTCATCACCTGCAGTCGACTGCCTGTAAATTGTTTTTTGACTATTTTTTTCTTACTCAGATATGCATTTCTCATTTTTGTAGATGTGTTTTTATTATCTTAAGATTAGTCATAGCTGTTTGTAAATTACAAACTACAGCCTTTAGCGTTAAAGGCAGACAAAAAGACTTGGCAGCATTTTTAAAAACTTACTTTTACCTCCGACTATTAAACTGTTTGAGTTTTGCTTCTACTTACCTCATCACTAATGGGTATAATGGCATTTAGATTGCAGGATTGCGTTAGGAGCAACTAAATAGTAAAACCCAACACAGATTGCAATACTTTTAATGACTCCAAATCAGTTTCACTAACATATTTCTTGCATAAAATCAGTGGGGTATTGTGAGAAGAATTCCAACACTGGACACTAGGGTTGTAACGGTACACGTGGGTGTACCGAACCGTTTCAGTACGGCACGTTCGGTTCGGCCTACATGCGAACCGTTTTGGTTATTTTTTCACTCATTAAATTTTATTAAATAGAGATTATGCACCGCGGAACTAAAATTCCTAAGCGTGTTTCGGCACGGCGCTATTATCTTGCAGCACGCGCAGCATTAGCAGCCTAGCATCTTGTTGCGGTCTCCTGTTTGGGAACGTTATGGCTTTCTTGTTAAAAGACGAGTGCAAATCCAAAGCTGTGTGTCGACGTTGTTTCACGGAGATTGGATCTGCAGCAGCAACATGTCTAACTTGTTAATGCACTTGAAACGACATCATCCAAATGTGAACGTCTCTTTTAGCAGCTTGGTGCAAAGACCGATAAGAGCAGCATTTAAATAATTCAGGTAATTCAGATCGGTCCAGAGCAATAACACAAGCTGTAGGAGCTTTTAAAGCTCTGGATCTACGTCCGAATGTTGTTGATGCGCCGGCTTTAAAGTTATTGAGCCACGCTACGACATCACGTCACGTCAACACTTCAGCCAAAAAGTTGTAGCAGCACTTTAATGAAAAAGCTAAAATTGATTGTCAACAAGCCCTGGACCAGATGAAAGCCCTGCCCTGATGCCCTGATGATGATGATGATGACCGAGAGATTCAACCACTTCCATAACAACTGTTCAAGAAGAGGTATTGTTATTTTATTATTATTATGTAATTAACTTTTTTTAAATTTTAAAATTATAATCTTAACTATTTTTTTTTTTACCTATTTATGTTTTATTTCCAGTCTGGGACAAAGATAGCAGCTGAGTCTTCCTGTTCAGGGAAATCCACCAGAGATCACCTCCAGCTAAGAAGTCTGTGATGACTGGACTCTGAACTTTAGGGACCTGTCCCACCTGTGGGAGCAGGTCCAAGAGGTTGTGAGTAATGAGGCCAAATACAGCCACACTGCAAAATTAGCAAAGCTCTACCTCTTTATTCCTGCCACCTGTTTTTAGTGAGCTGTTTTCTCCACCGCTGGAGATGATGTCACTGCAACTAGATCTGTGCTTTTGGCAGAAAATGTGGACAAGTTGGTCTTTTTGGCCAAAAACTTAAAACTTGACTAGTTATATTGTGAACAGTCGGTTGCTGCTTATTGTTCTGGTTCTGACTGTTATTGTATTTATTAAGATTTTCATTATTGTTAATCTAGTTTATTTATTGTAAAAAGTGCTGTTTATTTAAAATATCATCCAAATGGGTCGCTTTTATTTATTTTTATACAAACGTATTGTTTACTTGGCATATTTTCAAAATTAACGTTTTCTAAGTCTTTATTTTGTCTTTTTTGGTACCGAAATTGAACCGAACCGAAATGTGATTTCAGCGTACCGTTACACCCCTACTGGACATTTGTGTTCATTTTTAATAAAATTGGGTGTGTGGTTGAATGTTTTACATTTAAGTCCTCTTCTGAGAACGTTTAAAAATGTAGACCCAGTTTCTCAGCCAGTCACTGACCCCAGAGAGAAAACACAGTTCAAAGCCGAGCTCAGAAAAAGAGAGCGCAGCTTTCAGTTCTAATCTACAGAGCAGCAGCTGTCTCTGCCCCATATCCACTCTCTCCCCGTTTCTGTCTGTCCCCCACTTATCAGCCTGCGTAACTAGTTACTGCTCTCTGAAGTTTTTTTCCATGCAGACTTCACAGGCTGCAAGGTCACCTGTCTTTCCTTCTGTTGTACAGAAAAAGGACGCAGTCTGGCTCAGAGCCACAGGCCACCTGTATCCACACCATTCATTGCTTTTTCACACACACATGCTATATTTTTGCCTCTATGTTTAAAAGCTATTCCTAAAACAAAACATTTACAACTTTAGGAATATGACATGGAGAAAAAAACGTATGTAAATCCTGTGCAGGCAGTAAGGAACACTGCAGCAGGCGTCAGAAGGTCAGTGGTGGTGATGGACATGCCAAACTGAAGCTGATGCTGATAGGTTTCTGAACTTCAAAGCATTTTCCTCAGGAGGAGGGAAAAGGCTCTCAACTCACCTGCTCTCATTTTTGGATTTGCACAAAATTGCAAAATCCTTTAAGGAATTCCATTTAAAAAAAATTAGGTCTCCCTTCTCAGGAGCTTTACATGAGACGATCTCAAATGCAATTTTTAAAATCGTTTCTACACAAATAATTTGATGTAATGTTTATTTACCCCAACACCATTTCGAGCCCATACGTGCTACAAATGAAACTTCCAGGGATTTATCAGATGTTTTGCTCATACAATGCAGAGATGTTCCTGTTTTTTGTTTTCTACACCGTCTTATAATCTAGCCGTTTTTTTCACTACTTTTTTCCTTATGACTGTCCTTTTGGTTGCCATTTTATTTTAATTTGTAAAAAAAATAAAAATCTGTATGCCTCTTTTATGATTGTCTATTGTTGTCGTTGTTATCCACTGTTGTCATCACTCTTTGTTAAAATCAGGTCTCTCTTGTAAATGAGTTCCCGAGGCTCAATGGGATTAACCTGTCTAAATAAAGGTTGAATGAATGAATGTAGATGAGTATATTTATATTTAACCCAAACTAGTTTGAGCTTGTTTCCTTTTGTTCAGCTGTGCTAGTAGTAAGTCAGTTAGGCTTTTTATTTTACATTTAGGGCAACAAAAACTAAAATATCAGGTTGCTAACTCCATCTACATAGATGAGACGTATTTAAGCATTGTGTAACTGTGGATACAAAACTGAACAAGCACAAAATGCTGAATTATTTCTTTATTCACTTAGCAGTAAGAGCAGAAAATATCAAGCTTAGGGATATTCATTATTGGCAAAGTATCGGTATCAGCCAATATTTGCAATAAAGTAAAAATATCGGACATTGGCCATTCCATCAAAATAACTCACCAATATAAAAGGTGTTGTTTTCATATATATATATATATATATAT